GAATTTTATTATATGTAAACTGTACCTCAATAAACCTGATTTTACAAATTTTTCTTTAAAAAAAGTACATGGAACAGGAAAAATGAAATTCAAATTTCCATGTACACTCCTATATGTTCTCAGTGTTGGCTGCCCCATGTGCCCTTCACTACACGAGCACCCCACACCCACACCCTCATTCTTACTGAAAGGATTATTCTGAGCCTCAGTGAATCAAGACCAAAAGTCCAACAAGCTCCCATCCTTTAAGAAAATATAAATTTAAAAGTGGTGTTAGTGTTTATGAATACTGCGTCCTATAATCACTGACAGTCCTCATCAAAATGACTAGCATCCTCTAAATTTTAAAGGTAAAGTTCAGATGTAAATTCTCCTTATCCACACAGATGATATAATTTTTACTTCCAGATTTCAGCAGTTGTCCTTGATTTTGTATAAGGAAAGTCATTTAAACTCCTTAATTCTATAAGCCATTCCCATGGCTCCTACCAGCTACTTCAATCTCAAGTCTTAAATTCCAGAGATCAGATAAAGGCTCTGTATCACAGCTAATGAGTCTTAATGCTCTTTCAGAGTCAGTCAAAGCTTTAGACAGGCTTTTCAGAATAAACTTATTTTTCCAGCATAGTCGATTTTCTTGCTAGGCAAGATTTGATTACCAAATTGTGCTAAGTTCTAGAAATTCAGGTTTCATTCTTGTATGCTCCCACATTTCAGCAGACAATTAAGGAACTTTCTGATCCATGCTCCCGCCCTCTGGGGTTTGGGTAGAAGACAAATCTACCACAGAGAGTTACACTCACATTTCTGGGGCTTTGATCCTTGGGGACTCAGTAAATCCTACAGTGGGACTTTTGTAGTTGAACAACTGTGTGGCAAGCAACGTAGTTTTGCTTATTTTTTAATTCACAAACTCTGCCCCCTGCTTTTGAACAATTCCCAAAAGTAATGTTAATTTTCTTTTTGTAAGAAAAATGTCTCCAAAAAGCCCAGATTAATTTTTCTACATTGTGAATGTTTCCTTTTATAAACTGGAAAAGAGAATTGTAAGAGCTGATAAAGGTATAGTTAGCAAGAAGTCTATGGGTCATGAGGCCTGGCAGAGTAGACGCCTGACAGATGGCATTTTGGAACTTCAGCTTTAATGTCATTCTTAGATGGAAGGTTCTTTCAGGTTAGATATCACATGATAAACATAACAATTACTTTAAGTCCAAAAATTATACTTCTATCTGATAGAATCTTGGGCAAATCACACAGCAAGAAATGCTCTAAGTTTTAAACAAAAATCATGATACAAAATTCTATTTACAGTATAACGTCAAGTATGTTAGAGAAAGACAGGATATAAATAGGAGAAATGGAAAGAAATACAAATATACCAAGATGTTAAGACATTTTTGGAATAATGGAACTATACAGGATTTTCCTAAATTTTCTTCACTCTTTACTCTTCAAAATATAATTTTAACGTCCTTAGATTATTAGAAACCTAATGTAATTTAACAAACACATGACATATTGTTAGGCAGGTTTTGATTTGGGGGTGTCTATATACTTGTTTGTTTGATAAACATAAGGTGAAATCGATATGCATTAGTTGCAAAATTTGGAAAATCAAATTTGCCCTATGTCATATAAAGAAATGTGTAAACATGCCCGAGAAAATCAGTCAAAGCAATGGACAAAAATGAAATCTCAATTTGTTTTTTTCTCTTACCCGTTTTTCCTTCTGATTAGTTTCACTGTCCTATTGAACACCTTCCTTGGAGGATTCTAATCAGGATGTAGAATGAAACCCAAACTCTTTATTTCTTTAAGAGAACACTTAAATAGAGCTCTTATGTGCCATGCATTACTCCAATCATTTTACAAAGGTTAACTCATTTCATCTAGGTAAGTCTTCAGTTTGGCATTCCAAGCATTCCCCACTTAGCTGCTACTTCCAGCCTTTTCCCACCTGTCCAACTGCCCTGTGACTCAGCCTCGCCATTCTACTCTGCTGCCTCAAACATACTCACAGGCACCTCTCATCCTCTGTTCGTCTCTTTCTGAGACATTGTCCCCACCTTATCCACCAAAATCTACTTGTCAAAGGCCAAAGCAGGCTCAAATCCTACCGTCGTCAAACCTTCCCAAAGCCTCCGGCTCAGATCTGTGCCCCTCTCCATTACTCTTTGTGGGACTAGAGGTACAAGTAATTTCTGAACACCATAATCTCTTACAGGAAATAAAACCTAGTGGAGTTTGCATCGTCTTTTCTATATTCCTCTCCCTACACTGCCTGACTCAGTGTTGTTCTACATAATAGATGCTGCTCAACATGTAAATGTCATGTAAATACATTCAATCTATAAAATAAAGACAGACCTTAAGGAGCAATTTTCAATACTTTGCATAGAACAACATATATTGCCCCAAATCATTTATTATCAAAATTGTATACAAATGGTCACATTATAAAATTACTTATCAATTTTTTAAGCATTTTCTATGTGCCAAGTGCTGTGGCTAAGCATTTTACATGCATTATAACTTAGAATATTCCTCAAAAATTATCCCATAAAAGACTTGCCTTATATTCAAGTCATTATAAAGTTCTATTATGAAGGTATCTTTTTTGAAAAATAATATACTGTTTGGGGAAGACACATTCTTCTGAACTAATTCAATCATGCTAGCATAGAAATCATCTGATAAAATCTATTTTTTCAAATGGGACCAGGAGACAAAGAAATTTAACACAGACATTTGAATTATTCCTACGGCATGATTTCACAATTGCTAGTGCTGGGAAATTTGGAAATAAATTTTATAAAGATAATTTTAAAACAAAAAAAGTAACATAGCCAGTTGTTATGTTGAGGAACCACAAGTATAGCACCACAGAGAGAAAAAAACACCTGAACGTTTGAGAATTAGTAGCTGAGGCTGGAGATAAAACTTCTAATGCCATGTCATATGTGGGTTAAAAAAGCTCTGCACAACATCATCTCAGGAAAGCAACAATGACGTGCTCTGGAAAACTCTGCCTAGAAAGGAGACTCAAAAATAGCTCTCTATTGAAGATAAAGACACCAGAGTCAGAGATGACTGTTAAGAGTTTGAACGGAAGTGTTTTGGGGCACCTGGGTGGCTCAGTTGGTTAAGCATCTGACTGGCTCAGGTAACGATGTCAGGGTCCTGGATCGAGCCCCGCGTCGAGCCCCATGTCCTGGCGGTTGCATGGCCTCATCTGGCTCTGCACCCAGCAGGGAGTCTGCTTGTCCCTCTCCCTCTGCCCCTCCCCTTCTCATGCTCTCTCTCTCACTTTCTCTCTCTCAAACATAGAAATAAAATCTTTAAATTTTTTTAAAAAAGAAGTGTTTTGTGAAATGGGAATGTAAAAATGTTTCAGTAATGTGTTACATATTCCTATTTCAGATCACATCATATATGTAATTGTAATATTTTATTATGTATCATGTAAATATTATATAACAAATTCACCCCAAAAAGAATTTTTTTTTTAATCTTCTTGTTGGAAAAATGGAGGTTTGCCTTCGATGAGGGTGACCTTAGATGTTAGCATGGATGGTTCTCTTCACAACCACCAGTGCACTGGGTATTATGCCCATTATCCAGATGAGGAAGTGGGGCTTAAAAGTTGAGAAACTCACAAGGGCACACAGCTGCTCAGGGCAAAGTCCACTTGACTAAAAGTCTATGCCCTCAACCACCACCTCCACGGCAGGAAACTCCCACAGGTCCTTGCTAATGTCAGGAGCCACAAAATCCAAATTGTTTTTCCTCCTCCAGCAGGATCAGCATAGAAGCATACACTTTCCTTAGAAACAAAATGCATGTGAAGAACCTTCTCTGCTGAGCTCACACTGGCAAGGCTGGAAAGCTTCTGTGCTCCTCAGAAGCGAGGCCCCCGCCAACAGCTGTCAGCAGCACTGCAAGGGTGGAAAGAGATGGCACTGGAAAGCTCCCGAGAGGAGCCCTCTGATCCCTTGTAAGACTCCCCAGTTTTATACAATCTTCACCAAATGAGAGACAGAGATGAAAATACTCAAAAGAGATATGGAATTGACCTATCTTATGTATCCAGTCCTCTTCTTATTTTCTGTTTGACACGTTTGTTAAATGAACTAGAGAAATTTCAGAGCTACAAAGACAGAGAACCTCAATTAACTGTATTTGACCTCAATCTCAGAGCAGCAGCTTACCATAAAACACACTCAGTCTTTTTGGTTTGCTCCCAAATTCTCAGCTAGAATGTCATCACAGAAACAACATGAAATGTGCAACACTGAATCAACAGAAACGTGCAAGCCTCACAACACATGATATCAAGGAGGGGTATGAGGAGTGATGCTTCTTTCAGTTTTAGGTAAATCCGCTTAAATCTTATGGCAGTAAGTATAACATTTTTAAAAAGACAAATTTATACATCTGGGTTCTTAAATATGGGCAGGAGCTGTCTATAAACAAAGGAGCTCCAGGAGGGACGGGTCCTGACCTGGCAGGCACCATGCTGCGGGCGCAGCCCCCGAAGAGCCTGCCTGCAGCTTTCTCTGCTGTGCAAACAGTGCCCGAGGAGTTCTTCTTTTAAGTACAGTTCTTGGAAAAGTTAAATGCAAACGTTACAAGAAATGAAAGGGTTTATTTCAGATGATTTCTTTTAAGTTTTTACTCAATTATATATGAGAACAAAAATATTAATCTCTCATTCAATAGAAAAATAAAACAAAAGCGTTAGCTGTCCAGAAAACCCTACTTCTGTTCAAAATTCTAACACCTCTGAAAGACAGTATTTAATCAATCACAGTAGTTTGATGAGAGCCCATATAGGAGATGTTTTGAAACAATGCTTCTTATCACATAAAACATAATCCTGACCTTCAGGGTACAAGATGCCCACACCTTGCAACTGCCTTTTATCTCCCCCGCTCTTCCAAGGAGGTTGGAAGACAAGCTCTTCAAGCCCTTGGAAACTAAGCGCAGTATCAACTCACCTGAATGTGCATGGCGCCCTCTGCCGCTGCTTGAATAGTCAAACAACCACTGATGAGTGACCCCTGCTCTTCAGCACTCAGGGAACCTTTCAGAGAACCTGACTGCTCCAGAAACTTCATCTCTTTTCTAGAAAGAAGAGTGACCCTGTGAGTACCTGAAAGCAAACTTAAAAACAAAGGTAAACACGAATCCCTAGGGAAATGCAAATCAAAACCACAATGATATACCTACCACTTCACACCCATCAGGATGAAAAAAATAGAAAGTAAACCAAGAGTTAGTGAGGATGTACAGTATTGGTGAAAATGTAAACGGGGAAGTCACTGTGGCAAACAGTTCAATGGTTTCTCAAAAAGTCAAAAAGAGAACTACCTACCATGATCCAGCAATTCCAATTCTGTTAATACCCACCCCCCAAAATGAAAGCAGATACTCAAACAGATATTTGTGTATTCATGTTCATAGCAGCATTGTTCACAACAGCCAAAAGATGGAAACAACCCAAAAGTCCATACATGGATGAAAACAAATGTGGCACATACATACAATGGAATTCGATAGAATGGAATTCAGCCTTTAAAAGGCAGGAAATTGGGGCACCTGGATGGTTCAGTTGGTTAAGCGTCTGCCTTGGGCTCAGGTCAGGATCTCAGGGTCCTCAGATAGAGCCCTGCATCAGGGGCTCTCTGCTCAGCAGGGAGTCTGCTCCTCCCTCTCTCTGTTCCTCCCCCCTGCTCATGAGCTCTCTCTCCCCCCACTCTCTCAAATAATCTTTTTTTTTAAAAAAGGGAGGAAATTCTGTCACATGCTGCAGCATGGATGAACCTTGAGGACATGACACCAAATGAAATCAGCCAGTCACAAAGAGATAAATACTGTATGATTCCACTTATATGAGGTACCTAGAATAGTCAAATTCATAGAGACAGAAAGTGGAATGGGGGCTGCCAGGGCTGGAGGAGGGTACCTGTGGTTTAATGGGTACAGAGTTTCAGTTTTACAAGATGACCTTTTGGGGATAGATGGTTGTATGACAGTGAGAATGCACTTGATGTCACTAAACTGTATGCTTAAACATTATTAAGATAGTAAATTTGATGTCGTGTGTATTTTACCACAATTAAATTTTTTTCTTTTTGGTTTTTGAAGAGATGAGGCAAGGCCAATAGGAGGTAAGATTGGAAAGCAGTAGTTCTTCACCCACTTCTGTCAATCCCTGGGGAACAGGATTGAAAGAAGGTATCTCATAGTCAGGACCAGGGCCTTCATGGGGCGTCACCCGTGCAAAGAAGGGCCCTCGCTGGGTTTACTGCTCTGCTGTCACGGTCTCAAAATGCTTGATGAATATGGAGCAAAGGGCCCCACGTTTTCATTTGCACTTGGCCTCACAAATTATGTAGTCAGTCCTGCTTATAATTCATGACATATTAAATAAATATAAACACATACAACATATACAAACACACACACACACACACAGTTGCCTAAGGAGCAACATTTATGCTTTCCAAAAAATTCTGTGGATTTCTGCCAGTGAGTCAAATATTTTTTACAGCATTTCATGTTCATGGTTTTCATCTTTAGGCTGTCGACATCTTCAGCCGAAGACTACCAGGAACACACCTACAGTAGGACAAGTCAGGTTTGTTACTCACTGCATTGAGGGAGAATGCACAGCAGGGGGAACTGTGGGGTATTAGTAAGAAAGTGTCAGGGAGAACCTGTAGCAGGATTTGAGCTTTGGTTGGGTGATTTGGAAGAGGATCTGAGGGTCTGATTTCACTGCACTGGATGCTGTAGAAAGGGAAGGCAATTTGAACACTGAGTATCTCAATAAACATAAATATTTGGAGGACAGACTAGACTGAAGATAAAGCTGTCATGAGCAAAGAAGTAGCAGTCATTCATTTTAGCCAAGAGAAGGCTGCTCAGTATTTGTGGGTTACACAGTGATCTCATTTTTGTCTATGCTTAGATAAATTTAAAACATGGTCTTGCTTTGTCTCATTCTGTCATGGTCTAAGAGTGACTCTGTCTGATGTGGGTGTTCTTGAGACTGCTTATGTCCAACAGGAGAATGCCATGGCCCAGCCATGAGTGCTGGGCCAGCTCCAGATGTTAGGGGCTGTGCTTTTGTTGTTTTTCGTTTTTTCTCTTTCTTAAAACTATGTATCTTGTATTTTGTTTTAGCTACAAATTGAGGAACAGAAACTTTCTTGCTACTGTTACTGCAAAAAAAAAAAAATACAAAAATATGCTGAAATGCAAACATTATTATACCTAACAAAAAGAAGCTCCATGGCAAAGATAACGAGTCAACAAATGATCACGCAGATTCAAAGTCTTTCCTGCTTCTGAGTCAACAAACATAAAGACACTATTGTAGGTCATCATCACACATGGGATCTGAACCCAAATTTTCTTAAAGGAGAGGGAGAAATCTGAGATTGCTGTCATGTAGATAATTTGGAAGATCTGTAATATATTAACTTAAAAAAAAAAAAAAAAAAACCTACCTTAAAATCAAGCCAGAAAATGGCTACCTTATTTTAGAGGATCCTAAGGACACACATGCAGAAGTTCCTCCTTGGAACAACTCAATGTTGGGAACTGAATACCCCTGACCACTACCCCCAGTGAGCAAGCATTTGAAAAATATTTTTACATATAACACATTCCTTGAAGTAGAGGTTTATAAAGTTACTGAAAATATACAAAACAACGTGTGTTTCTTAGCCAGTTCATCAAGAAGTTCGTATTAGTTGTCTAGAGTATTGTGTGGTATCTTAGCAACAGATTAGAAATTGACTGTAAGTTTGATAACCTAAAATCAAGAAAGAACTGACTTAAATGGCAGAAAATAGATATTTTAAACACCATCGAGGGAAATATAGTAAAAAGAGTTACCAGAAAATGTTGCCCTACCAAGATAAGAAGGAAGAGTGAATGTTTACTTGTCCTAGAGGATCCTGGGATTGAGCACCAGCAGCGACCCTCAACCTCCCTGAACACAGTCCGAGTTCTTCACTCAAATAACCACAGCGAGGAGGGCACCACTCGATCCAAAGATCATTTAATTTTCATTTCATGTTTTGGATCCATTTTTTGAAAATTTTTGGAGTTATATAACTCTGTAAACTCTGTACTAAAAACCATTTACTGTATACTTTAAGAGCCAAATATATGCTATATATATATCAATAAAGCTGTTGTATGTTTCTTGTTGCTTTTGTAACAAATTACCACAAACTCAGTGGATTAAACAATACAAATTTATTATCTTACAGTTCCAGGGGTCAGAAATCTCAAGTAGACTGACATCAAAGTATCAGCAAGGCTGCATTCCCTCTGGAGGCTCTAGAGGCAAATCTGCTCATTGCCTCTTCTAGCGCCTACAGCTCCCCCCTCACCATTTTCCTTGGCTTCACGGTCCTCTTCCGTTTCATAGCCTGCAATTTCATCACTCCAACCTCTGCAATCTCCATCACACCTCCTTCTTTGGCTCTCCTCATTCTCTCCCCCTGATAAGGACCCTTGTAATTACATGGAGCCAATATGGATAATCTCCCATATTCATATTCTCAACTTAATCATATCTGGTCTCTATTGCCATGTAAGGTAACATATTCCCAGGTCCCGGGGATTAGGGCATGCACATCTTTGGGGGAGTCATTGTTCTACCTACTACACTTACATCAAAAAAAAAAAACAACTTTTAGAATAGACTATGTGATATATGTAGAATTCCTGTAAAATTACTGTCCAAAATTGTGCTTACAGAACAGAGAGGACTTATCTATTAAAGCTGCCTCAAATCAGATAATTAGGTTATGTTTGGCTCTTTGTACTTCGCAGATAATTTTCCACCATATTCTGAATTCCACTAGCTGTTGAAAAGTTTGTTGTCAATTTGTAATTCTTTTATGGGTAGTCTGTCTTTTCTCTCTCTACTTTTAAGACTTTTCTTATGTCCCTTGGTGTTTTGTAGTATCCCTGTGATGCATGTAGATACAGATATCCTTTTTATTTACCCTGCTTAGGACACTTTGTTCTTCCAGAATATGAGGATCTGTGTCTTCAACTGAAATGAAATCTCGCTTCTTGTATCTTCATAAATTCTTCCTCCCTATTCTCTCTAAATCTTTCAGACCTCGAATTAGATATATGTTAGGCATCCTCTCTGTATCATTCATATTTCTTAACTACTTTTTCACATTTCCCATCTCTTTATCTCCTGAATTCCATGCTAAATAATATCTTCAGATCCGACTTCCAGTTTACTATGGTCATAAAACCTTGTCTCTGACGTGTTTGGGGATTTTTAGTTGTGAGCAGATGTTCACTGAACTCTGTCTGTGGGAATCCTGTGAGCCTCTGATTTAAGGTACATTATTCTGAAGACGATGTCTATCTTCCTGCTGACAGGCACTGCAGACATTACTAACCAAGGGACCGATTTGAATTCTTGGATTAGAGTTTATAAGACCACACAGTAATATGAATTTGGGTTCCAAAACTCTTAGAGAGCTGGTTTGTGGTTATAAATTCTCAGAGAAACTCCTTCTCCCCACCACCCAGAACCAAGGCCGAGACAGACAAGCCCCCACATACAGACTAGATTTTTTCCTACTACTCCTTTCACCAACAATGTCACGCTCTGAATACTAGCTTCACTTGGGGGTCTCCAATTTGATCCCCCATCTTGCACAGACTAAGGTTTGCTGTTAGAACCAAAGCAAGATTGGCAATTATCTTAGAGCAGCTGTGACGTTCACATATCTCTTAGGATCTGTGCTCCCAAATTTGGCCTCTCAGAGTTTCCATTACTTTCTTGCCAGATCAGTTATACATTATAAACTATACATTTACTCAATCCTTTTAAGTATTTTGAAGTGGAAAGGTCTTTCAGGATACTTATTTTGCCATATTGCCAGAAACTAAACTCTAGACTATTTCTTTAAAATCTAATATTCTTAGATATTATGTGCACTTCATATTTCATGATAAAAGAGAAATACTGACCATATCCATTTCAGTAATAAGTTATTCAATGTGAATATGATCTCTACTAGGCACATGAATTTATAACACACAATTGCTAATTGATTACATCATGGTTCTTGTTC